GCAATGCCCCCTTTTTTAGTCCTTGAACATGAAGGCCACTTAAAATGGCCGTATTGTTTGTAACAACTTTTAGAAAAATCCGTATGTTCTTTAATAGCAGCAGGCTTTCTCCCCAGAAAATAGTGAGCCTATTGTCCTTGGATCGTTGTATTATATTCCCAACGCCTCTGCAAGTTCAGTCCTTCCTCCTTTGCTTATGCTTCCTCCATTTTTTTTTTTTTTAATCATTTGGCTACACAGAGCTGCCTCATGTCATTCTTTGCATGCATCATCCTGTTTTTTCTCTTTTCCTGCATAATGGCCCAGCTTTTCTGAGAGTAGCTGTTGCCCCGAGTGTGATCCTTTACTAAAATGGGGAGTGAATGAAGGTGGAGCACAAATTATCTGGAAGCAAAGGAAAACCAGGCATTTGAAAAGGACCCAGAGAGGAAGGAGTAATGAACCAGAGTGGCCTGGATGAATTGCTGTAGAGGGAATTCTCAATTTTGACACAAAAGGAACATAGGGATACCAATGCCAATCGAGATGGGGGGAGAGTCTCCGTAGGAAGCCTGCCTCATAGGCTGGTCAGTTCAGAGGGTTGAAGCCAGTAGCCTTCCAGAAACAAATGTATTTTATGAGTAACAGTTAGGCATTCAAACATGCCCGTTCTGGAACACAAAGTACTCTGAGGGTTTGACATCCCTTCATAATTCACGTTCATTGTTCCTCTAAGTAAAATATGTCTCCCCCTGTAGTTATTCTGTTAGGAATTGTACTTTAAAGGCAAGAGGACATTTTTGATAATGCACATCTTAAACTTTTCATTAAACTACCAAATTTAAATTCTACCTTTTTGTGCACTCTGACATTTTTGTCTGGCATTTTCATTAATTTTGCGACATACATAAATGTAGCTGAAATGTTAACTGATCAATACTTTGTCTCTCTCATGTAGCACTAGCGCTCTATTCCCTAAGGACCACACAGCAGAACAGAAATTAAATGTGTAAAATATCAAATGTTACTGTTAAACACAGCGGCACTCACTGTATAACGACAGAAAAGGCTAAAACAATTCCAAATGGACAGATGGTACCACAAATTATCTACAATCACATTTAAAGATTAAAGTTTGTCCTGTAAAATAATTCTTTGACGCACACTGAAGTGTGTCCTTTTACTGATAGCTCAGTTGTCCAATTATTTTTGTGCTCATTACAGTGAGAAATGACAGTACTGAAGAGAAAGAGAGTGTGCACTCTGCTTTTTTTTTTTCCATGTTGCACCCACTGACATCCACAAGAACACAAATGTCTGGTCAAGAGCCTGATGAAAATTAGACCCAATTTATGAGACATTTCCACATCTACAATAGATGATTCCGAAAGACGAGCAGGGCCTTCTGCGCCACATACGTCTGTGTTTGCTCTTAGGCATACAATATTCATAGTAAAATTTAAAAACCTAATTCATAGCATGCAGTAACAAGGACATTCCCAGGAACACGCTCGCCTCTGTTTTATCCCTCACCTCCCAGGCCGATTGCAAGCTTCTCATCTCGGCCGCCTGCTCTGCATCTTCCCCAGCACACACAGGTAGTGCCAAAGAGGCTGGAGCAGCTCTAACCCTGCGTTTCTCAAGCTTTCCACTTGAACTGACATTGGGACAAAAAAATTATTGTTTTTCCATTTTGATTTCATTATTCTACATTTATTTTTGGATAGAAAATTAGCAAAGAAAAATAAAACGGAATAGGAAAAAAAAAAAAGGCACTTAAACATTACGAAGTTTACTGATCTGGGCCTAAAACCAAGCCACATAATGTGCTCCGTGAAGCAGCTGCATTTATGAAAAAGTGGGCCAAGTGGAACCAATATTATAATAATAGACCCGAGATCCATCAACAGGGAATGATGGGAACAATATGTTTGTAACAATGGGGTGCTGCTCATACTCCTCTCCTAATGGAAAGCAGCTCTTTTCAATAAACGGGCCTAAAAGGGCTCTGGTTATGCAATGAGATCTTTGAAACAGTTCTTTTTTTTTTTTAAGATTTTATTTATTTATTTGACAGAGAGACACATCGAGAGAGGGAACACAAGCAGGGGGAGTGGGAGAGGGAGAAGCAGCCTTCCCACCAAGCAGGGAGCCCGATGCGGGGCTCGATTCCAGGACCCCGAGATCATGACCCGAGCCGAAGGCAGACACTAGATGACTGAGCCACCCAGGCGCCCCGAAACATTTCATTTTTAAATACATCATTTAATGTCTGTAAGAGGAATCAAAATCCTACAACAGTTTTTTTTCTGAATTGTTATGAGACTTAGATTATAAGGTGCATATTAGAAAGCTCTTTTAGAAAGAAAATAATATCTGTTGTGCGCTTTGGGCAAGGTTCTTTTCTGTGCCTCAGTTTTTTCCTCTGTATATTGGGAAAATAATAGTATCTATCTTATAATTATGTTGTCGGGAATATTAAATTCATTTATGCATGAAAAGCACTTTCGTGCCTTAGTACCTGTAAAACAGTTTCCTGGCACATAAATGCTCAGGAAGTATGAGTTGTTGTTATTTTTATATAGAGGATTACTGTATTATTATTTAGAGGATTATTATATTATTATATATTAGTTGTTATATATATAAAACATATAGAGAATTATTATATTATATATATAACACACATATGGCACATATATAATGTAATAATATGTTATATATTGTTACTATATAGAGGATTATTATATTATTATTTAGAGGATCAAATTCATTAGAATTTAAGTAAAAGTCGAGGGAAAATTGCTGCAGAGCATTAAGCTATGTCTATCATCATTTAATAACCAACTTTACTAGAGCAAAGCCCTATTTATGTGGCATCATTCAAGAAGACTTTCTCCTCTTTAGAAAAATTTTCAGACTGATTGACTGGTTTATTGGCTGGTCTATTGATTTAGATAGCCACTTATACTGGGAGCCTACCAAGTGCTAGATACTCTGCAGGTGATGCTGGAGTACCAGGGTGAAAAAGGCAGGGCCCCCGTTCTCAGGGAATGCCCACCTCAGGTCTAGATACATGCAGTTCAGTTTTGTTATTTGTTATTTCAACCACATTCAGTAGAGTGTGATTCAGTGCTTCTATTCAATGAAATGGTTAATATTATCATTTCTTCCTCAAAAGTACTCTCACTGCATCTTCACATGCAGCTTGTGAGGCCTTTTTTCTCACCATCAGTGTCTGCAGGCCCTTTTCCTACCTTCATGGTGGCCTCCCCCTCCTTTTTGCAAGCATCTTGCGTTCAGTTTGTGTTCTGTATGACCAAGGCTGTTGGAAACTGACTATAAGCTACGAGAGATGATATTATATTTCCTTCCTGGTGAACTTTGATTCCCTTACAGTGAAACCACTCAAGTATTATCAGATACGTGTACTAAAGTTTCTTGGACTTTCGGTGCCTGATTTTTTTTAATCAGAAAAAATTGGGGATAAAAGTCTGCCATCTTGAATTCATTTCACATGAGTGACCTCAAGAAGCCAGAGGGAGTTTATGAAAACTTACACAACACATTGTAATGTTAAAGCATTCAAAATGAATGTTCCTGAACGAATCACATAATTATAGAGATTTCTCTGTTTTCAAATTTCGCACACAGTTATAGGGAATGACTTTGGAAAGAGTGAATCAAAGATGGCATCATGGCATTTTCAGGAGAATATTACTGTGTCTGTTATAAGGCCCCGCGGAACCTCGAAGTAATGGCATAAAATACACACAGAAACTCAGTATCGTTTTTTCCTCATTAACATCAAAGTGCCTCTATGATAGTGAAAAATCATAATAAGGTTTGCCTAACAGTACCCTGACGTATTTATTACGTGAAGGCACTAAATAAAAGAATATTGAAAGAGGCAGATTTTCTTTTCTAAATCCTAATGATGATGGCAATCGCTTTCTTTAAGGAGACAACAACATGTCTATGGGAAGCTGGCCGCCTAACTTTCTGGTAACTTACAACACAAAGGGACATACTCCCTCTTTGTTCCATGTGCTCAGACATTAATGAAAGTCCCATACAAGGCCTGAGAGGAGGACAGAGCTCAAAGTGCTAAACAGATGTGCATACACTCATTTGAATGGTAATACTAAAATGTTGATTTGTTACTATAATTAAGGCTCTTCTTGTAAGCCCCCATAATAAAGTCATATTTTGCTAACCTGGAAACTATAAGGAAGCATAAGGTACTCATATTCTAACAAATATGACAATAAAATAAAGGATTTCGAAAGAAGGACTCCACTTAAACTTCAAACTGAAATCCTGAATAAGCAAAACTAATGTGAGAGCAGAAAATCTCAGCTAAAGCTCAGAGGAAAGTATTCTCTCAGATTTTCGAGCTCTGCAAGTTGGTCTCATCAGCAGTTTTTAAATAACCAAAGTAAAAGGCCACAAGATGAACATTGTTAGAGGACTATTTGGATCTATCAAATTCTCACTTGTGACTTTTTAAAAACTGAAAATCTCAGAAACAATAAAACGTCTCTTAAATAGGTCACATCCACTTCCAATTGACTCACATATTCAAACATTACCAACTAGCATCCTACTGCCAACGATTTTCCTATTTTGAAAAAAAAAATCTATAAAACAATAAAATTAAGACAAGGTTGGTCAAGATTATTAATTTTTTTTTAACACTAAGGACCTTCCTTGGCGCTGTTATTGGGATTTGGAATTATGCAATATGTAAAATTTTACTTTTTGACTGTCATGGAGAAAATTATATATTGGCTGAGATATCTTGCTTTCCGGAAATCTGGTGGGGGGGGATGTGTATTCTTGGACTCGGACCTTGAACGATCCATCAGGTTCCAGCCCACGGCAAATCTGTCCAGTCAAGTCTTAAAATAGGAGTTTTAAAATGGCCACATCAACATAACTGTTACTATAGCCACAGAAACATGCAGCTATGATTACTGAATTTAATGAATAACAATGTAAGTAATAAAGAATTATCATACCACAAAAGCAGCGAGGCTCCTTGGGGGTGAATCCCAATCAAAGCAACTATTAACATAGTATGCAGCATTTACGAGCACCATGACACAACGCTTCATTCTGATAAAGTTTCTTAGTAGCAGCTGTAAGGAAGATGAAAATATTATCAGAATTTGCAAGACTAAAAACCATCAGATATGGTACAAAATTCTTCAAGCTTAGTGTGACTTAAAAAGGATTCAGAAAGTTAATAAAGTTGTAAGAATATACCAAGCAATTTGGCTCAAGAGTCAAAGGAAGAGAAGTATCTCTGAAGAGAGTAGAAAGAACTGAAGTACAAGAGCAATTTCTCAGCTAAATATATTTTCTTAAATAATATTATTATGTGGGTCGGGCTACCTTTGTTCAAAAGAAAAAAAAATCTAAAATCTCCAAGAGATTAAAAACATTTATATACTGTGAACCTTAAATATATTTTTTTTACTCTTAAATCTCATTGTGATTTTAAGATTCTTTAAATGCTTTAACTTCAAGATATTTCAAAGTGAAATGGATAACGTGAAATGTTTTAATTTCACGTCTTAGAGGAAAACCTGTCAAGTATTGCTTTATTACAGAAAACAAAATTTTCACCATTTTTGTAGGAACCTCCCTTATTTACTATCAATTTTTCAATCTCTGTCTCTCGGTCTCTCTCTCAGACTCTCTCTCTCTCCCTCTCTCTCATTCTCTCTCTCTCTTTTCCACAATTTAACCTACATTTTCTCATTGCTTTTTTCATAATTTTGGAGTTAGGAAAAAATTTATGGTAACCAAGTGCTTTACAAAATCTTTCATTAAAACGGTATATGAGAATTGATATAATTTAAATCTAACATTTAAAACAAGGCATGACTACAACTATAAAAAGAACAGCCCCTATACTAGATGAGGGTACAAAAAATGATCTACAGCTGTGTTACTAATTAGAATACTACGTCTGCAGGTTAATATTTTGCTAATGCCAAATATACTTCAATACTGATCTGGTATTTTTAAGAAGTAGTTATGTGAAGCTTCTTGAGGTCATTTAGAAAAAATGTGTGTGTGTGTGTGTGTGTGTGTGTATAAATATAGACGTCTGTACAGGCATATACCAGTTTTAACAAGTTGTTAAAATTGAAATCCTTTCACGAAAAGAGTCACCCTATTTGTTTCCTTCCTCCCCTGATGACCTTCCTTTTAGAGCTCCTTTTATTACTTTTATCTATAATTGTGAAAAAAATGTAATCTGTATTTCTATTTAGATAGATATTGCATTTGTAATTCATGTACTGTCTTTAAACAACCAAAGATCCCACTGTTTATGGTGAATTGATTAGATTAAAAACAAAACTAATTTTAGTCTTCTAATAGCACAGAAAATCGTTAAATATTTTAACACACACAAATGAGTTTTGTAAACTTTATAGCCATAGCAAACACATTTTATTTTAGCTGCGTTAATTGGAAGTAAGCATTTTTTTAAAGAGGTAGCTTAGCACCCTTTCTTAACTTGATACCAAACCTAATTTAAATCTACGTCTAATTATAAGATATAGAGCCCTAGTTAAAATTTCTTCATGACAGAAAAATCAGATGTGCTGATTTTCTATTTTCTTCGCTAAAAGTGCCAATAAAAGTTCACTTCTAAAAGACCCTAGTCAAAATCTAATTAACAGGAAGGTTTCCCTTAAAAGATGGAGCCCCCTCTCTTGTGGATTAGAGGGAAGAGCTTTACCCAGGGCTCGCTTTACACACACCTGCACCATACCTGTGGGTGGTCTGGACATATATTTGAACCTCAGCCTTTGGTGTTCTCATTTACACATTCCATGGCAATCAGACAGTATTTTATGTTCAAAATGATCATTCTTTGGCTAATGCATGAATACATATCCATTCTACGCAGCGCCTACAGTATCCCCTTTCCCTTCTGACCACCCCCATCCAACTCATTAGTTTGGTATTGTCCTTGTTTGATCTCTTACAGAAAGGAAGGGAAGAGAGAGAAAGAAAAAAAAAGAAAGAAAGAAAGAAAGAAGGAAAGAAGGAAAGAAGGAAAGAAAGAAAGAAAGAAAGAAAGAAAGAAAGAAAGAAAGAAAGAA